ACAGGTTGTTATATTGCTTGAAAAAAATAGGCACAACAACAACCATAAAATATTCTCGTTCACATGTGTTGGTTATCAAAAGATGGGGAAATTAGAATTCCAACCCACTGCAATTGACCATTATATCCACCAATTCCAATTTCTTTCACATAGATACAAGGGCAATTTCGTGAACAATTTGAAAAGGTCCCACTGTGGTCCTCACAACCAACTTGCACGAACGGTTTCAAAGAAGCAAACTATAAATAGCGGACAACATGGCATGGCTGGAATCAACGCAACCCTAAGCCAACAGAATGGGTATTGTTCGAATTGGAGAATCGGTACTGAAAACCTAATCTTTCAATACTGGTAAGCTTTTGACGGAACAAACCAGAATCACCTTACCTTCGTCCCGGGAATCGTCCAGTCAGGCTTCGATCTGTCTACCCAAAGTCGTTGACCGCTCCGGCGCGGGACAACTGTGGCAACGGAATCAGGCGATGGAAGTCTCGCGAATCGTCCGGTCTCCTCTGCCGCGTCGACTACACTTCCTCTGGCGCGGGACAACTGTGCGATTTCGTCGGATGAAGTGGGGGCGGGGGGACTCAGGCGGTGGCAGTCTCACCGCCACGCCTGCAAGAAGGTGAGTGGATCGTCGGCGACTTCGGGTCTTCGCAGACGATGGGGGAGATGGACAGATGAGAGAAGAAGGGGTTTAGGATAAGAATTGGGTGAGTGGATATGAGAGGATGGGAGGATATTTGCTTGCTTTATTTTTTAAGTTTTATGTTATTTATTATTATTACTTAATCAATTCCACCTGGGATGCCACGTTCTCAATTCCACCTCAGCTTTTTTTGTCAGGTCAGCATTGCAGAAAGACCTTCTAACGGGGTACTAACGGACAATTAACGATTGGATAATACTTTGTATATTAATAGCTGTGGATATAAATCCCTGATACATAATAGTTATGGATATTATATTGTATTTGCCCTTTTTTTTTTACTTCATCAGCCAAAGCTTCCCCTTTTGACTTCTCATACATCTCTTCCAACATCATAGTCAAATAGTGTAGTTTACGCCTGGGATCTAGCACATATGCCATATAAACTAGCATATTTATCCCAAGGTTACCCTCCTCGTCATCAGCATCATTCTCAAACAAATACTTTCTCACATTTGCCTTTATTCTTTCTGCCATTCTTTGTATCTGTCCATCCACATCATTTTGAGGAGGATGTAAATGTAAAAATTTAATTTTATACACTAAATATTAAGATCTATTAAGTTCATGTGCCAAAATGTAATTTGTATGTGAACCTCCATGAAAGCAATGTAGAATATGAAGCAGAAGGGAAAGGAAAAGAGGGAGGAGAAGCATACCACAAGTTTCTAAAAGCATATATACCACAAGTTTATTAAAGCACACCACAAATTTATCAAAGAACACCACAAGTGAAAGGGGGTAAGGGGGAGCATAGCACATGTTTGTAAAAGTATACCACACGAGTTCATTAAAGAATACTACAAGTGGGAAGAGGGGAAGGGAAATCATATCACAAGTTTCTAAAAGCATACCATAAGTTCATTAAAACATACCACAAGTATATCAAAACATACTACAAATATTACAAAAAAAAAAAACATAACACAAGTGGGAAGGGGGAAGGGGAAACATACCACAAGTTTATTAAAGCATACTACAAGTTTATAAAAGCATACCACAAGTGGGAATTGGGGAGGGGGTGATAAGAAGTCAAAATAAAGAACACAAACACCAGATTTACGTGGTTTCCCTCAGAATCAGGACTAGTCCACGGGAGAGGTAGCACTCTCAGAGTTAATCTTATTCAACTTAGTTTTACAGGATACATCAGGAGAATATATATAGCTCGGTGACACTATACATGTAACCCTAATCCTGCCTAGTTCACGAACTTACGTAATTAGGGAAAATTACAATAAGCCTCCTAAACTAAGCACAATTAATAATTTCAACACCCTCCATCAAATTGATGTTGCTTACGCAACATCAATTTGTTAGAAAAATACCAATGGCTACTGGTGCTAACAGCCTTTGTCAACATATCTGCAGTCTGATCTTCTGTGGACAAATAACTAAGCCGAATGACTCCCTTTGTCAAAAGTTATCTAATGTAATGAACATGTGTCTCAATATGCTTTGTCCAATCATGTAAAACTGGATTGGTGGCAATTCTGATTGCACTTGTATTATCCCTAAATAACTTAATAGGCGCACTGCACACCACGCCCAATTCTCCTAAGAGACGTTGCAGCCAAACAAGTTCCGAGCTTACCTCCGACACGGATCTGTACTCGGCTTCTATAGAGGACTTTGAAACCCGATCATGCTTCTTGCATCTCCATGAAATGAATGAAATCCTGAACCGGACACACCATCCTGAATCCCTAATGTTGATCTGCGAGTGTCTACACACCCAGCAAAGTCAGCATCTACAAAACCCTCCAATTCTGGCTCCTCTTTCGTCGGAAAGAAAAGACCCACATCTTGAGTACTCTGAAGGTATCTCAGGATCCTATGCACTGCATATAAATGCATACTAAGTGCCATGCCCATAAACCGACTCACCACTTGTACAACATATGCAATGTCTGGGCTCGTGGAGCTGAGGTATCTAAGAGAACCAACAATCGTGCGATAATGAGTCTGATCATCTAGTAAATCCCCACTAGACTTGCTAAGCTTCAGATTTTGTTCCATCGGAGTAGTACATGGCTTACAGTTTTCAAATTAATTCTCTGCAAGCAAGTCTCGAATATACTTCTGCTGACTCACAAGGATGCCATGCTTAGTCCGCTCGATTTCTAACCCCATGAAATATGAAACATCACCGAGCTCCTTCAGCTTAAATGCTTTATGTAGTGACTCGGTGAGATCCTTAATTCCTTCACGTTCATCTCCTGAAACAATCATGTCATCCACATACAAAAGTAAGACTGAAAGACCATGTACTGTAGTTCGCAGAAATAAGAAGGGATCATTCTAGCTTTGAGTAAATCCAGCTTGCACGATCGTACCATGAAACTTCTCAAACCATGCTCTAGGAGCTTGGTTGAGACCATACAGTGATCGTTTCAGGCGAAAGAAAGTATTCGCATCACCTTTCGTATATCCAGGTGGTCGAGCCATGTAAATAGTTTCTTTCAAATCACCATGCAAGAATGCATTCTTCATGTCAAGCTGTACAAGGGGCCTCTATATAGTACTCTATTATTATTCTTCACTGAACCTCTGTAAATGCCTATGCAATTTTCAACGTGATTTATTTTCAATTTTTAATAAGGTTTAGGCGATTAGTCTATACTCATATATTTGGGAACTTCAAATGAGCTCTGCGTGATTAGTCTAGATATTTGGCATTAGAGATGCTTGTGATTCTGCTTTTCATGAACTTGTGATTGACAACTGGACACTACTTGCTTGTTGTTACTTATTATATCTTAAGACTTAAGTTTTTTCCAATTTTCTATGAACTTGTGATTGACAAATGGACACTACTTGCTTGTTGTTATTTGTTATATTAAAATTTAAGTTCTTTCAATTTTCTATGAACTTATTCTAAAAAGTTGAAATTATGAGGATTTTTTTTCATTTTTGTTTCGAACATATAAGCGACGCTTAAGAGAGCTAGGCGCTAGGCAGGAGCCCAACGCCTAACTTACGTCTAGCGCCTTTTTGAACATTGATTTATACTATGGTGGATAAAATGGTATTTAACCAAAATTTAGTGGGAATAACAGTTCACCAATTCCACTATCCCTAACCTTGCCAAACATTATATTGGGACAAATACCACATACCAAATTACAGACATTGCGGTATGTGGTAATTATGCGATATTTAGTTCAGTTTAGTGGGATCCTCATTCGGTGACATTAGGATTTGAGATCTGCGTTTGTCTGGCTGGTTAAGGAAGATCTGCGTCTATTTGGTGGATCCATGAGAGATCTACGTTTGATTTGGCAGATCAAAGAGAGTTCTCCATCTGGGAAAAAATCCTTATACAAAGAAGCCCATCGATACAAGGTGTCTGGCGGATCAAGATAATTGTTGAGATGAGGACACGAAGTTCGTGGTCCATGTATTGAGGGGAGGATTGTTATGGGACAATCCAAGTACCACATCGGAAATATAAGGGAAGGAAATCTTGTATATTAGTGTACATCTTTTTCTAATTAGTACGAGGCTTTTTGGGAAGGATACCCGAAAATAAAACCATATGGATTTAGCCCAAAGCAGACAATATGGTACTAATTGAGCTATCCGATTTGAACCGTTACATTTATAAATAACACATTCAAACGACCTACAAAATATTTAGTTAAAAATTTAAATTTCTCAAATCTACATATATCAAATCTCTTGTAAATGTAAAATTTTTATATCTTGATTTAATTGGTTTCTTTTTTCGTATTTATCCCCTTTTTTCTTACATAACCCGCCTTTATTCATTTAAAACTGCCAAAATTTTTTAAAAAAACATGTATTTCATACAAAATTAGAATCAATGTGTTTCATTTATGTCAACAATTAAAACTACAAAATTGTGAAGTTTTTTAAATTTATTTAACAATCTAAAGATTATAGTCTTTAAAATTTTTAAAATGTCAAAAATTTAAACTTCAGTTCTCCAAAATCTGAACCGCTAACTTGGGGCATCTGATATTTCATTTTGATGAAAGCTGGCGAAATGTTCATGGATACTACTATGAATACGGATGTCGACCTTGTTAGTCCATTTCAATGTTCGGTTAACAAATATTAGTGTATCCCAAGATGTCCTAATTACCAAATTTTTAGATTTAGAAATTAATATCCAAATTCATGAATCCAAACTTATTGGGCCTAAGTCTGAATACGGGATACGTTGTCAAGGTTCATTGGGCCAAGGCCAATGTCATGTAGCCGAATGCAGTAGTGTTCGCTATAGGGGCGCGATAACGGGAGCCTAAAATGAACATTAGCCCTCTGTAGCTTTTCACGGTACAAAGCAAAAAATGGCAATTCCCCCATCAGCAGATCGCTAGCTCCATCGATCTACCACAGAACAATAGATTTCGCTATTTTACAGGTAAACCTCTGTTTATAACCGTTTCCTACACTTGATCTACTTGCTGTTCTACTTTTTCCTCTTTGGGGTGGGCGAATTGAGATGGCAAAGGGTTGTGCAAAAATCCCAGCTTTGCTTGATCTGTATAATGTTTGTTTCTTCTGGGCTTCGTCCCTTTTTGGGTTCCGCCTAATCTGCAAAAGTTCCCCACCTAACAATGAGAGCTTCATTTTAATGCTTCTATGGGGTTTGATTTGGCTTCCTATTTTGTACCGTACCCAACAGAACCAAAAAGAAAAGGAATTTTACTTGCTCATGTTGTGTTTTTGCTTGCCCCAATTGCACCCTCTCCCTCTGTTTTGGCGTTGTTGTGCAGGTGGGGATGAAAATTGCATGCTTGATTTGATTTGGGAAATGGAAACTCTATAGGGGTCTTGAGGGAGAAGTGAGTAGTGTAGTTGGGAGATTAGACATGTTTTATTCTTACTATTATTCCTTTGTTAGTTATAGTTATTCTCAATTTTAACTTGTCTGTGTCTTTGTTTAGCAGATTTGGTGCTTCAGTAGAAGACATTTGCATCACTTTTCTCCAATGCAGTCAAAATCGCGATTTAAAACTTAAAAGCTTACGCTTTTACCTTTTTAGGTCACCAAAATGATTCTATGTAGAATCGTGATTTTTCCTTACAAATGTAGTCAAAATCTACGCTTTAAAACTTAAAAGCTTACGATTTTACGCTTCTAGGCCACCCACCGCTTCTGGGTAGAACCGCGCTTTTGACTGCATTGCTTTTCTCTCGATATTTGCTATTGGCTAGTATCCTGGGTCACTTCAGTACTTGTAAGTCACCATCTGCACCATCAATATCTTCAACTATCATAAGTGATATAGTCTTCAATGTATTTGGATTGTTTGATGCAAGATTATGAAATGAGTGTGTATATATTTCTTTGGATGTCTGATGTTGTATGTCATCAAGAATTTAGTTTTACTTCCAAAAATCATTGCACAATGATGAACCGTACCATAAAACTGCATTATGTTTGGCATGGTTAGATGGATAGGGAAGCTCAAGGTTCCAACGAGGTTGAGAAGTCTTTATCAGATGAGGATATAATGAGTCATGACTTGGAAGACATCCTAGATATTCACGGTACAGAGCTAGATTCGTGGAGAAGTATCATGGAAAATTGGCAAAGACAAAGAAATATGTGTGTTGTTCAACTCATTTGCTATGTTGTATACACGCTGCATTTATTGAACAATCATATGCGCGTGGAGACAACTTTGAGTCAACCTCTTGTGCTTCGAGAGGCAAAGAGAAAAATCTTAATGAAGGACTTACGTGACCATGAAGCAACTTGTCGGGCCACATTGCGTATGGGAATAGATGCTTTTGATATTTTCTGTCAAAAGTTACGATTGACTGGCGTTTTGAAGGATTATAATCGTGCCACAGTTGAGGAGCAAGTAGCAAGATTTTTTGCTATTCTTTCACAAACTGGTGGAAAGTATCGTAATCTGGCACTATATTATCACCGAAGTATTGGAACAATTAGTTATCATTTTCACAATGTCTTGAGAGCTGTGATAAGTCTAGCGCCAGAATTTTTGAGCCAACCCAATGCTGCAACACCAGTTCCATCCAAAATCAAAGACAACCATAGATTCTTTCCCTACTTCAAGGTAATTACATTTCAACTTTGTCGTACATTATGAATCAATACTTAAAAGCATATATACATATATAATATATATATATATATATATATATATATATATATACACAGGATTGCATTGGGGCGGTTGGTGGAAGTCATTTTCGTGTCAAAGTGCATCGCGATGACCAAACTCGTTTTCGTGGTTGCAAAGAATGGCCCACACAGAATGTTTTAGCGACATGTAACTTTGACTTGCAGTTCACATATGTGTTAGCTGGATGGGAAGGAACTGCTTCCGATTCAAGAATTATCAAAAATGCATTTGCTAGACCACATGGGCTCGTAATTCCAGAAGGTATGTTCGTGATGCTTATTCATCTTTTATTTTGTCCCAAAGGTAGTCACATCATAAATATTTTATGAATAATGATCTTCTGATAATTTATAGGAAAATACTATCTCGGAGATGGTGGACTTATGTTACGTGGATCATTATTGACACCATATAGGCATGTCCGTTACCACTTAAAGGAATCTTCTCTGGATGGTACTAAGAATGCTAAAGAATTGTTTAATCATCGACATGCTTCTTTACGAAAGAGCATTGACCGAGCATTTGGGGTGGTGACAAAGAGATTTCCTATTATTAGTACTGGAAGTGAACCTCAGTATTCATTTGACACAACGACCGATATTATCTTGCCTTGTTGCATCATCCACAATTTTCTTATGGGGGTAGATCCGGATGAGGCATTGATAGCAGAAGTTGACAAAGAGTTAGCGGCACAATCGGGGCATAATGATACACAATGTGAAGAAGAATCAAGAGCTGGAATAGAACTACGCGACAATATAGCAGAACAAATGTGGCTTGATTACGAGAAGTGAATCAGATGTGGTTTTATTTTGTTACTATTGTTGTTAGTGCTCGATCTAGATGGTATTATTGTGTTTATTATTCTTGTTTACATGACAAATGTGGTTTCATGTTGCACTTTTATGTTATGTATAAATGTTACAGCTAACATAATGTGTTTTCATAGGTAAAATGATGCCTAAGAAGGGAAAGGAAGTGGCTGATGGACCGACCAGGGAGAATGTTGTTTGGACGGAAGAAATGGATAATGAGTTGCTGGATTGCGTACTTACTGAGCAGCGTAAGGGAAATAGACAGGAGGGGCAGTTCACCACGCATGCTTTGACTAATGTCGTATACGCATTGCGGACTAAGTTCCCCAGCATAAGACTTGACAAGGACAAGGTTAAGAATAGACAAAGGACATTAAAAAAACACTTTGCAGATGTTAAAGACCTCTTCCATAACATGAGTGGGTTTGCGTGGAATCCTGAAACCAAGCTTTTTGAAGCTGAACGTGAAGTGTGGGAGCGTCTATGTGAGGTATTTTCCTTGAAAATTGAACTTCTATCCTATGTAATGTTATCATAATTCTTAGATATAGCTTTTTTCCAATGTAGGAAAAGCCAAATGCTAAGCAATGGATCAGGAAACCAATTAACAACTATGATAAGTTGTTCGAGTTATATGGTGAACATAGAGCAATGGGAAATGGAGCTAGCAGTGCTTTTGAGAGACTTGACACTTGGAATATGCAGAATCCAACATCTGACATTAACTTGGTCGATCTTTCTGAAAACCCGGAGGATGCAGACGATGAAGGTGCTAATGTATTTACTCCTACAAGCATGCACACATTTAGTTCTGAAGGTATGCCAACTATAAGTTGTAGATGGTATTATTGTGTTTAATAATGTGTTTACATGACAATGTGGTTTTAGGAATTATTGTTGTGATTCAATGGTCGGAAATATTTTAAGTGTACGAAGCTGTTTCATGTTGCACTTTTATGTTATGTATAAATGCTACAGCTAATATAATGTGTTTTCATAGGTAAAAAGATGCCTAAGAAGGGAAAGGAAGTGGCTGATGGGCCAACTAGGGAGAATGTTCATTGGACGGAAGAAATGGATAATGAGTTGTTGGATTGCTTACTTACTGAGCAGCGCAAGGGAAATAGACAGGAGGGACAGCTCACCGCACATGCTTTGACCAATGTCGTTTATGCATTGCTGACTAAGTTCCCGAACATAAGACTTGACAAGGACAAGGTTAAGAATAGACAAAAGACATTTAAAAAACACTTTGCAGATGTTAAAGACCTCTTCCATAACATGAGTGGGTTTGCGTGGAATCCTGAAACCAAGCTTTTTGAAGCCGAACGTGAAGTGTGGGAGCGTCTATGTGAGGTATTTTCCTTGAAAATTCAACTTCTATCCTATGTAATGTTATCATAATTCTTAGATATGACTTTGTTCCAATGTAGGAAAAGCCAAATGCTAAGCAATGGATCAGGAAACCAATTAACAACTATGATAAGTTGTTTGAGCTATATGGTGAACATAAAGCAATGGGAAATGGAGGTGCCAGTGCGTTTGAGAAACTTGACCGTTGGAATATGCGGGCTCCAACATCTGACATCAACTTGGCTGATCTTCCTGAAAACCTGGAGGATGTAGATGATGAAGTTACTACTACTTTTACTCCTACAGGCACGCATGCATTTAGTCCTGAAGGTATGCCTACTATTAGCTCTGAGCGTTCACCATCAATTAACTCCCAAGGCACTTCATCGAGAGGAATTAAAAGGAAAGCTCCTATGGGAAATTTGATGCTTGATAAAATTGATGAAATGAGAACTAATATTGCGAGCATGGTTCAAGCAATTGAGCAGGGGAATTTGATTGCTGAACGCTCCGCACGAGCGTTGGAGAAAGGCAACGAGATTAAGGAAAATTCACTGATGATTCTTGAACATCAAAAGGCTCATGTTTATAAGGAGGCAGAAATTTATGCTGAACTGATTCGCCTTAATGTTCCCCAGCATAAGGTGATGCTAGCTTACAGGAACTTTGCAAGAAGCCCGGAAAACACAAGACTTTTGTTTGGCTTACCAGAGGATAGGCGACTTCAATTTGTGGAGATGGCACTTCTCTGGAGCACTAATATGTGAAGTGAACTTCAAGTTCAATTTCATTTTGGTCATCATCTTAAGTACTAGATGATAGTATGAGAACATCGGATGTAGCTGTAAATTGTAATTTGGTTATGTTTGTTTTCCAATCGATATTGCTATTAGTAGGCCTTTTGGGGTTAACTAGTTAACAATTGTATAACCGACTAACTGGTTAGAATATAATCGTTAATCGAACTGATTTGTAGCTCTAAGGATTAACATTGTATTATAATATTGAAAATGTTATGTGATGGTTGTTGTATGTATGTAAGTTGAGTCAACCATACAACAGTATATGTATGAATTTTGCCACATCAGCCATCTGAAACAATATTTTCTTATTGATATATATATATATATAGTCGTATTCGGTGCACCCACTTTTTCGGGTGCACTCAGTGCACCCACTTTTTCGGGTGCACTCAGTGCACCCGCCTCATAATTGTCATTCTGACCATGCGATTCATGTCAAAACGGTATCAATTGTTGCTTATGATATTATGAACAAGAAGCACATGAATTTGAAAAAAAAATATTCAAAATTTACGTTAATTCGAAGGATTTAGGATTTAGGGATTTAGGGTTAGGGTTTAGGTTTATAATTTGGATTTTGGGTTCGGATTCAAAATTGAATGTTAAGGGGTTAGGGTAATGGATTGATTTGTTATGATTCTCTGTCATATCATCATATTATATTGAGAGTACTAATTAAAGTTCAAAATTTGATGTATTATGGACGCTTTTAGAGTTGGGTGCACTGAGTGCATTCAAAAAAGTGAGTGCACCGAAGTAGCCACCTATATGTATATATATATATATATATATATATATATATATATATATATATGTATGGTGGCTTCTATCGTACCTTGGGTAAAATCTAGGGTACGACATACCATGAGTAAAAAAATGCTATCTAGACCTCGAATTAACCGAATTTTTGGACATGATACTATACTCTAACCCTTGATGATTGAAACCTAAGTCTTAGATTTCTAAATCAAAGAGCCTAATCCCTAAGATTGTGCCTGTAATTTGTTGCATATATTTCGACAAATCATAGCCGTTGATTTTTGTTTCTAATTAAATTGATCTTAGTGTATGAGATTTATAAAACTAAGACCTAGATTTTAATCCTTAAGGGTTTGGGAATAATATCATACGCCAAACTATGCTCAATTCGAGGTCTAGATATCATTTTTTTACTCAAGGTATGTTGTACCCTTGATTTTACCCAAGGTACGATAGAATCACCCATATATGTATATATATATATGGGGAGTTCTACGGTACCCAGGGTGAAATATCCGGGGTACCGCATACCTTGATTAAGAAAAATTTTATCCAAAACTAGATTTGACTGATCTTTCGGACATGATACTATACTCCAATCCTTAAAGATCAAAATCTAGGTCTTAATTCTCTAAATTTTATACTCCAAGATAAATTTAGTTAGAAACAATAATCGACGGTTATGATCCGTCCAAATATAGGAAAAAAATTAATGCACCATCTTAGGGTTTAGAGTTTATGATTTAGATAATTAGGACCTAGGGTTCACTCATTAAGGGTTAGGGTATAGTATCATGCCCAAAAATCCTGCTAATTCGAGGTCTAGATAGCATTTTCATACTCAAGGTATGCGGTACCCCGGATTTCACTCGGGGTACCGTAGAAGGAACCATATATATACATATATATGGTTATGTCTTCGGTGCAATCACTTTTTTGGGTGCATTCAATGCACCCGCCTCATAATCGTCATTCTGAGCAGGCGATTCATATGAAAACGATGTCAATTATCACTTGTGGTATGATGAACAAGAACCACATGAATTTGTACAAAAATAATTCAAGATTCACTTTAATTTGAATGATTCAGGGTTTAGGAATTTAGGGTTAGGGTTTACAATTTGGGATTTTGGGTTGAGATTCAAAATTGAAGGTTAATAGGTTAGGGTAATGGGTTGATTAGTTGGGATTCTATGTTATATCATCATATTAGACTAATACAACCAATTAAATTTCAAAATTTAATGTATTATGACCTCTTTTAGAGGTGGGTGCACTGAATGCACCCAAAAAAGTGAGTGCACCGAAGTAGCCATCATATATATATATATATACTTTTTTGGGTGCATTCAGTGCACTCATTTCATAACCGTCATTTTAAACATGCGATTTATGTGAAAATGATGTCAATCATCACTTATATGTGATGAACAATAACGCACATGAATTTGCACAAAAATCATTAAAGATTTACGTTAATTTGAAGGATTTATAGTTTAGAAATTTAGGGTTAGGGTTAGGGTTTAGTGATCGAAATCAAAATTGGAGGTCTAGGGCTTAGGATAATCGGCTAATTAGTTGTTATCATATGTTATATCAACATATTACACTAATTCTACAAATTAAAATTCAAAATTCGACACTTTAAGACTAGTTTTTGAGTTGGGTGCATTGAACGCACTCATTTTGTGAGTGCACCGAAGTAGTCACTATATATATATACAACAATATATGTATGAATTTTGCCACATCAGCCATCTGAAACCGGATTTTCTTATTGATAATAGTGATGATATTAATGATAGTGACAATTTTGTTTTCCCAAAGAAACCGGCCCTTATTTTCTGGAAGGGCATTAACGTCAGCTCCACAGATTTAATACTCCGGAACTCCTGTCCGGGCAGTCCGGGGGGTCGGATACTATGCTAACCCCTAAAGGGGTAGTGATTTTCGACACCCCCTTTATGATTGGCCAATTTTATTTCCAATCATTGGCAAGTATTAATTAAACTGGTTTTTTATTTTTTTTAATCTTGTAATTTGGGGTCTCTCACCCACATTGGAAAAGGAAAGAATATGGGGAATCAGAAAAAAGCTTCCCCCCCCCCCCCAATGTGCAATTAATTGCCTTTTTTTCTTCCTTTCGCCTCCTTCTCTCTCCATTTGGGCCCTCTTTCCATTTTGATTTCATTTTAACCAGAACCCTCCTCTACTCTGAAACGACCAAAACCCTCCAGCGCCTCTGACCTACCAATGGAGTGGTACGTGTACCAGTGGAGTGGTACGTGTACTAGTGGAGTGGTATTTGTATCATTGAAGTGGTACTGCATTGTTGCTCCGTTATTGTTTATCATTGTTATGAAAAATATCATTGCACTGGTATTGTTCTCACTCTAACCTACCTTGTGGATTGCTCGCGCCAGTGGAGTGGTACGTGTACCAGTGGAGTGGTACGTGTACCAGTGGAGTGGTACGTGTACCAGTGGAGTGGTACGTGTAATTAATGTACCAGTGAGAGAAATTAATTATGTAATTAATGGGGGTGATTTCGTTTTTCCCTAGATTCTTTCTCTTTTCCAATGTGGTGAGAGCCCCCAAATTACAAGATTAAAAAAAATAAAAAACCAGTTTAATTAATACATGCCAATGATTGGAAATAAAATTGGCCAATCATAAAGGGGGTGTCAAAAATCACTACCCCTTTAGGGGTAGTCAGGCTAACCGAACCCGGCAGTCCGGCTGTAGTTTTTTGGCCCACTAAAAGTTAAACCCAACGATGCTACTTCTTTTGGGCAGGTACTTTCTCCCATTGAATGGGTAAGAATTGCCCTAATAAAAACTAGCATGGACTGCCCATTGGACATATAATTTTACTTTTCAATTTGACAAAAATGTTATATATAAAAATATATTTATTTTATGTTGTGTTTTTAATTATAGATTTTTTGTCAGATTTATGGATCTTTGATGAAATTTAAATTATTTATGGATACTATTCTTCTGATATTTATTTTAATATTATTGATAAGCTACCCATCGTTTTATGTTCAAGATTAGAGAATTAAATAATGTTTTAGCGGTAGATAAAAATTAAGGAAATTTTAAATACTAGTTATACTAAACTTTAGAGTCGAGATTACAATATTGGAATTCACAATTATGGAGAGCACGCACATATTGACGCTTACATACATATTCCATCCATACTGATAATATACTCTTTTTCAAAGAAAATAGCTAAGTAATCAACGAGAAATTCATCGCTCATTTTGTTGTACAAATCAATATTCATGTTCCATTGCTGAAAATATTCTCTCCATGGTAGTTGTTGAAACGACTAGGTTAACACTAGACAAATCAATTTGTATTATGTGTCCATCCATGTTTCCTCCAGCTCTCTAATAATTATGTAAGAGAAGAAACTTCATCTTCCTCACATGAGTAGTGCATTCTCCAAAGAATGCATCTCATAGCCTTCAAAGTCTCGAGGCTAAACTCTTGAGCAAGTTTGTAAATATTTTCTTCATCAAAACACCAGAAAGAACGGTTAGCATCTTGTGCCCCACTCAATTGAGGCAATCTAAATGATGACTCAACAAGTTTGTAAATATTTTCTTAATCAAAAGAATGGAAAGAAAACCAGCTTGACGGACTGGCGGAGAAATCCATTTGGGTCTGCTCGTATCCTCGTTCTTGTTTTGTTTTGGGGGGATTGGAAAAAATTTTGAATTTTGGAAAGAAGGGTGTGCTTTAGTTTAGAGTTTTTTATTTTATTTTAATGAAACTTTACACTTTTAGGTTTTCATGTATTTTTTCAAATAAAATCATTGGGGCTATAAAAAATTTAGTATAAATTTAGAGTAATGGTTTGGATATGTTCATCTGAACCATTTTCCTAGTTACACAAGATCCTATTATAATATAAAACTAGACAGGATTTTAAATAACACTGGGCCAAATATCTAAATCTAAAAATTTTGTAAGCACTAAACTAACTCTAGATCCGGAGGAGGGCTGGGCCGGGGCCTGGGTTGGCCAGCCCTGGATCCGCCACTGGAGAAGAATGAAGTGTTGATAAATAGAATAAGACCGATAATTGAACGTCTCTCGATAAGTTAATATTATTGATAAGCCACCCATCAATTTATGTTCAACATCAGAGAATCAAATAAACTTTGAGTGGCAGATTAAATAAGGGAATTTTCATTACAACTCTATACTAAACTTATGAGTTGAGATTACAATATTAGAGTTCGCCATCATTGGGCGCGCACACATATTGATTGTACATTCATGGTTGTCAAACAACGATCGTAACTGATAAAGAGAGTTGGAAAGGACTTGAGAGAGAGAAGGGAGAAGAAAAGAGTGTTGGTAAATGATATAAGATCGATAATTGAACAACTCTCAATATCTCAACTTATTGAGACTAATTACTAATTAGTTTTAGACATGGAGAAGAGAAAGAGAGATATGGAGAGGGAGAGGAAGAACTAGAAGGGCGACTAAGAGAGCAATGAAAAGAGTGAATTGAGGATTTGGGTCAGGTGGTTGTGAACATTAGATAAAATTCTAACTTTATTATATGTTCGATGAGAACATATAAATTATGCTTTGAAATATATATTATATTCCAAATCTTAAAATTTTGCCTTACATTATGCTTATAATATGTCAAAAGCATATTAAATATATTGAAAATCGGTTGTCCATTAAACCTTAAAATCACTTACTTGATTAACTTAATAGTTTAAATTGATTGACAACTTTGTTTACATTAAACCTATCAGCATGCTAACGAACCTAATCCGACCAACTAATCGAACAAAATGCTAGTTAATTATTTGTTGTCCGTTTAACAAGAAGAATTTAGTTAATTTGGTCTAATTTTGATTATCAAAGATGGGAGAAAATTATACAATTTACACGTGGGGGTATTTAAGTAACTTAACTTTCAATTGATGATAAAAATACACTTAGCCAAGGCTATTGATAGATGGGCCTTGCGGTGCCCCTGCACAAGACAACGAGAAATATGATGTCTAGTTACTTGTGGGTCAGGGAATTGGGGCAATCCCTTTCATCAACATTCTCAAAGACTTGTGTAACTTATGGGATCAAAGGGTAAACAAGATTTAGTTTGGGGACTTTGTAATTAAAAATACATATAAAAGGAATAGTATAGCATGCTGTAATGGATAGTAGGGGTGGCAATTCGGTTGTCGGTTAGCGGCTAACCGGTCGGTTCAACCGATAACCGCCGGTTAGCGGCTAACCGAAAACCGAAGAAATGTAGCCTCGGTCGGTGGTCGGCAAGGAAGGGTGCCTGTTCAGCTAGCCGAGTAACCGGTGCAATTAACCGCGGCTAACCGAGCTAACCGAGCTAAACCCAATCAATGCCAAACGACACCGTTCTAGCCCAATCCCCCACAAAAATCGAAACCTAATATCACCTCTCTGCCTCTCCTCCACCCTCCAAAACCATCACTTCCCTTCGACTCTGCCTCCCCTCCACCCTCCCAAAACCGTCGCTTCCCTTCGACTCTGCTTCTCCTCCACCCTCCAAAATCATTCCTTCCGCTGCCGTCTCCCGTCCCCCGACCCTGCCACTCCACCCGTCCTCTCCTTCCGACGAACCAGCCACTCCGCCCTTCCTCTCCTCTACTCGCCCCCACAACCACGGATCTCCAGTCCGCCGATCCTCAGCTCTGCCGTTCCTCTTCCTTTCCTTGTCGCACCCCCAAGCCCAAGAACAAAAACCCAGAAACCAATAAACTCAGATCTCTTCGATCTGGTTGGAGATGCAGCCATGCAGGGAGAGCAGAGAGAGGCCGAGTTCCTCTGGAAAGGAAGAAGAAGAAGAGAGAGAGAGTAGGGAGGAGGCGGGTTTCTCTAGAAAGGACAGATCGAGAAATGGAGTAGGAGGCGCGGGGAGAAGCAGATCGCGAGAGAGAGACGAAAGTGAGAAGGGGATTCGTATTTAGGATTAGATTTTTGTTCAATTGTCGAAGTTGGGAGGCTGGAGGTCGATTTTTGAGAGAAGAAGAACAAGAGTGGAGGCGATTTGAGAGAAGGAGAGAGCTAGGTTTTGTTTCATTTTTCTTCTTTTCGTTTTTGCTTTTCTGGTTCGTGTTTTCCTGGAGAAGAAGATGAGAGGACGAGAGAGAGTGAGGAAGAAGAAGAAGAGAGAGAGAGTAGGGAGGGAGAGAGGCGGATTTCTCTAGAAAGTGAAAAGGAAAGAAGAATCGAGAAGTGAGATGGGGTTAGGAGTGAGTGGTGCATAAATTTTGTTTTTTAAATTTTGTTTTTTTTTTTGAAAGGTTGTTTTCCGGTTGGCCGGCTAACCGAGCCTAAAACCGAAACCGACCGGTCGGTTGGCCGGCTAAACGTGACCAGTCTCACGGTCGGTGGTCGGTAGCTAGGGGGATGGCTCGGTTTAACCGATAACCGGATTTTCGGTTTTCGGTTAAACCGAAACCGACCGACTGCCACCCCTAATGGATAGTTATGGAATAAACAAAACAAGAACTACTTTCCCTTCTCCTTCTTCCTCCTCTATCTATGTATTCTTCCTCTGTTCCTTTTTTCTTCCTCAATCTCTCCTTTCCTAGTCTTTTCCTTCACGTTCTATCCCTTTTCTCAGTAAACAAACATCCGCCAAGACAATCGATCTCTACCAGGGGTGACTAGGTGGTATCAGAGCCCGTCTTGACAACATCACATCCATGGCGAACACGAGGGAACTGATCGACGACTGTCTCACCAATTTGATGGCGTCGACGACGCAGGCGCAGGGGGATCTTGACGATAAGATCGCCGCTGTTTGTGGCTTGGTCAATTCTCACACAAATCAGTTGCATGAGCTTATGGCTAGAGCTGATGGCCATTCTCAGCAGTTCGTCACCATAGTCGGTCGTCTGGATAGCATGGAGGCGCGTTCCGCGATGCGTTTTACAGAAATGGAAGCTCGATTGGATACTCGTCTCGGGCAATTCACTCACGAAATTCGCGATTTGCTGCAAGTCAGCCTTCCTTATCGGCCAGCGGGAGTTGTTGCCAATGCGGTCGTGCCGGTGGTGGACCGAAATGGTGCTCGGGAAATTTTAACCTTAACAAATCAGGGCTCCAAGGGCGTTGACCCTGCTACAGTGCAGGCAACACGGGTACAAGCTCTGATTCCTCAGGTTGCAGAGCGAGAGCAATTCCAGGCTCCGCCCTGAGGCAACAACCATCAACTTCCCCGATTAGATTTCCCCTCTTTCGATGGTGAAGCTCCTCGTGAATGGACTAGACAATGCGAAAAATTGTTTGAGACCTATGCAATCCCTAATGACCAGAAGTTAAATTTGGTTGTGATCGGTTTTGTGAGACGAGCTGATGTCTGGTTTGAAGGTTGGAAATCTGGCAAAAGTGAATTAGTATGGGAGGATTTTGTGGCTGCCTTGTGCTAGAGATTTGGTAATCGTACTTATGGGGTGTGGTAGCTACATTCAATAAACTTAGGCAGCGGGGCTACTTGGTTGTGTATCAGGAGAAATTTGAGGAGTTACAATCTTTGAAGGCTCGTTTTAATCCAACCTTGGACGAGATTTACTTCATTAGCAGCTTTATTAATGGATTGGAGCAGGAGCTGCAGCTAGTTGTGTCCATGATGCAGCCCCAAACATTAGCTGAAGCTTATCAGCAAGCTCGGTTGGAGGAAGTTGCCATCGAGACTTGCAAAAGAAAGAAGCAATCTCAGCTTGGTGATTGATTAGAGTTGGATGCTGCTACAAGTGACTGTAACTCTGAAGTGGATAACATGAGTATCAAGATATTTGAGGTCGCTGACAGTGATATGATCGAGGATCATTTCATAGCCTTTAGTTTTGTAAACAAAGTAGATACTTCACAGCTCAGATTTAAATTGGTTTCCAGACGGGGTGAAATAATGCATGTGTTGGCATTGTAGCTGAGGCAATTTTTGGTGGTGATTATGAGCGCTACAGTGTGGGTGCTAGTGACACGCTAAAACACAACACCTAACAATGGTCAAGTGTAACCAATAAAAGGGACTGTAGTATAGTGGCACAAGTAATAAATATCGAATCCACGGGTCTCTAGAGTTACTATTACTCAGTTTTAGTTCATTATCTAGCAAACCAGACTAATGATTGATTTACTAAACTACTCTATAAGCTAAACTAGATAAAACTACTAATTACAGGTTTAGAACTCACTTAGGTATGCTTCCCCCAGATCCTCAATTATATCCAAGTTATAATTCCTTTTGGTTGCTTTACTGCTGATTAAAATGCGAAAGATTCAAAAATAGCTTGGAATCTCTTAAGTTGACCAAGCCCTCTTAGACAGAATACCCGGCAAACGACTAGCCTTCACCGGGATAGACTGCTAAGGCGATTCGCAAAGATCTCCACTACTTGGAACGAATTCTAGTACAAAGCAGTGAATCGACTGACTCTCATACAACCAATTTACTCCTATCAATTGAAGAAGCTCTATCAATCTAATCAGATTCTATCTATTGTAGGTTAAAGCAGAAATCAATAGTATGTGATCAAAATCCAATTGACTCAAAAAAACATGTCTCAATAGATTATAACCAAACAATATAGCATCTAAATATTCAAACAACCAAGATCATGACACATGGAACTAGGGTTCCTCAAAACCTAAGTGAAGGGAAGTTACTCCATAGAGGAGAGAGAGATTGCAGTATAACTTTCCAGATCTTCAATCTTCATGTCTAGACTTGTTCCTTGAGCTTCAATGGTGAAGAATCCTCCAAAATAGCTCCAAGAATGACTCTAGATCTCCCTCTCTCTCTCTTTGGTTCGTCCCTTGGGTGTTCGAGATCCAAAATCCAACTCTCCCTCTCAAAAATCGCAGAAAACATACTTATACCAGGGAAGCGGTTGGGAACACGGCCGTGTTTAGTCATGCCCGTGTTTCTTCATCCGAACCTATTCCACTGCTTTTGATGCTTCGTTTCTCCCTCGTCCGGACTTCGAATCAGTCGTCGTTTGATATCAAACACTCGTAGTCTCATCCTCTTTCTTTTCATGACAAGTTTACATGATTCTTTGTCCATGAAATGAGGTAGAAATCCATTCTTCTTCAGGTCATGCCCGAGTTTCTTCTCCCGAATCGCCAATTGATCTCTGATTGACTTGAAACTTGCGCATATGCTTCACTTTACGGGCCAGGACCTGAAGTATGACAAAATAACACAACCTAGCGTAAAATAGGCCAAGGAAGCGATAATGCAAGCTTAAACGATCAAGAAACAAAGGGGGAAACATGTGCCAATATCGAGTCATCAAATCCCCCCACACTTAACCGTTTGCTTGTCCCCAAGCAAACCTGACTCAAACCAATGCAACTCTCCAGACCTCTACAGCAACACGCAACCCCTATCATTGATAGAGGACTTCCTTGATCAATTAGCAACTTACAGGTCAACCAACGCACAAAACACCTCCTAACTTCTTCGGCGAGAACTTTAGTCCCGAGTCAGGGTCATGCCAAGTAGTGATCAGAGGACAAATGATTAGTGGACAAAGAGACTCTCAAAAACAGAAAATCATTGACTCAACTTTTTAGGTGCTCTTTTTTATTTAAAGATGGTTGGAACCCCCTTTCTTATTTCTTTTCAATTTCTTTTTTTTTTCCTTTTTGCAAGGGTTCCAACCTGTTATTTCCAGAAAAAGGGACTCCCACCCAGCAAAGGTTTTGCGAGAGCCTAGCTCTTACCGGTCATGCCAGGAGCAAATGTCTCGAGCCTCATGCGGAGGAAAGAAATGTAAGGGGGCAGGAGGTAGTAGGTGGAAGTTGGTAACGGATTCTCGTCTCCCCTTACACACTTTCACCGATTTTCACACGGGAGACTTGTTTTTAAAAAAATACAATTTAGAGCACCTTTTTCAAAACATGATACATGAGTCCATGATAGGTAGAGAGCTAGCGATACCACACGATTCAAGTGTCCTAAGATCACTAATTCACACAATCATCTAACACAATATGAAGAACAAAGGAGACTTCTTAAATGCATCAACATCCTCCATAGTGCTACACTACCTCCCTAGGTTGCCTATTACTACAAAACTGTCAATTCAAAACATACTGAGCAGGCATTTGCCAGGGACACGTACTTGGAGCCCTCAAATCATAAAATTTGGACAGTGGACTAGGCTCCAAGCACACACATACAATCAAACATTCACATACAAACATAATGGAACACCCCCCCCCCCCCACACACACACACACACACTTAAGCACGACATTGTCCTCAATGGAGGAAAGATAAGGAAGGTAGAATGAAGTTACCAGATCAATGTGAATGATGGTAGATGGGGCAAGCGGTGCATTCCATGTGAGTAAGAGAGCATTCGAAACACAAATACCACACAAAATCTCACAGAGGTTGAGTTATTGACTCTAAAATCAAAGAACCAAACTGACTCAACAGAAGAGAAATAGGGAAAGAAATTCAAACCTACTGGTCGGTGTTGCCTTCCAACAAGCGCTTCTTTCACGTCGTGAGCCGGACGGTGGCTCCTAAGTATCGGTCCATGCTAGAACCACTTTGAAGTTGAGGTTCTCGTCGATGAGGTGGATTCTCAAGTCACGAGTAGGTGATATGATAGGCAATGAAGGCTCGTGCACTTGATGCAGATGAAGTCTCCACCCTCGCGACCTCTTCTTCTCTTCTCTCGTCTCATTGCCCCAAACAAGATATGACAGCATCGATTAATCACCATCGCATCCACCAAGAGGGACCGATGTCGATGTGGCCTTGGTCTGGAAAAGAGATACTGCAAACGGGTCCTTGCCAAGCATT